TTTGTTTCCCGCCTGGGGGGGGGGGAACTGCAGTAGTTGTGACCCTCCCCATGTAGCGCTTTCAAGTAAGAGCTCCCTGGTGACAGCTGTGTTTTAATGTAACGTGTTTGGACGCAACGGCAAATCTACAGCTCTGGCGTGTAGATTTTCCTGGAAGTGGCATGGTCTGAAGGATCGGGAGTCTCTTAACAGTATCTTGGCACCTCGTGCTCCATCCAGCGTCCTCCCTGGCTGCCCTGCAGCACTGTAACCTAGGGGTGCTGTGTAGCCAAGCTAGCTTCTGCAGAACTAAAAAATATTTTAAAAAGATGTTTAGAGCCTACGAATTGGCAGTGAGGAGGTTATTTGTCCCTGGATTATCCCGCTTGGCAGGTGGGAGGCGCACGGCACTACACGGGCAGGTGCAGGAGCTGCTCCCTGCCGGTTGGATGCTCTGAGCGTGGCCGGGCTCCCCAGGGGCCACCGGGAGAGGGCAGGAGCGGCCCAGGCGCTCCGGAGGCTGGCAGAGCTGGTGGCACCTGTTGGTTCTCCCTTGGGAGAGACTTTGGGCGCGCGGCAGCGATGCCACCGCACGCCCCCGCCGCTGCGAGGAGGAGGAGGGTGAGAAGGAGCCTTGGTCCTGTGCTGCTGCTGGCCATGGCCCTGCTCCCGAACCCGGAGCACAGAGGGAAGGCAGACACGCCAGGCCCGCTGCTGCCTCCTTGTCCATGCAGCCAAATGCTCCTCAGGCCAGTGAGCTGCTGGGCCCGCATGGAAGGAGCAGGAGCACCACCCCAGAGGAATTTGGTCCATCACAGTGTTAAGGCCTCATACACAAAACAAACAAACACAAAAACTGAAAACTTTTATTTGACAACTGAACAAACAAGAAGTTATTTACAGTAGGTTTTTTTTTTTTTTCTGCTCCATAAGTTTCAAGCCGATCAGTTCCCCCATCCCACCTCCTTCCACGCTGTCCTCTGGGGCTGTGACGTCCCCGCGCCCGGTGCGGACAGCACCTCCCCAGCCCTGCTCTGCTCCCCGGGCACAGAAAGGAAGAGGGGAAGGAAACACTGCCCTCTCTCTAGGACAATGGTGACAGGAAAGGGCTACTCAAAGGGACCAGGAAGGCCCTGAACTTCAGGGTTTGCCCCAAAAATGATGGCCGAGGCCATGGAGGAAGGGCCGTGGGCAGCGCTACATCCTGTGTCCTGCCCCCGGCAGAGCCGGTCCCCCTTGCTCCATCCTGGCACCGGGGCTCCAGCCCCTGCACTCAATGGGAGCAGCAGGTCCCAGGGACATTAATATCTCTATTCATGCAACTTAATAATCAGGCTAATAACCTAGGATTAGTGTTTCTTGGGATAGATAATATAGGTGTGTACACATCACTATTTTACTTACATTTTACAGTGAAACAGCAATATCCCAGCCCCAGGACCGAGAGGGACGAGGTTAAAGCACTCGAACCCCCGGCCCTCCAAGGCAGCTCAGCCACAGGGCCCTGGCTAGAGACAACTCTGCTCTTGCAGGCCCCGCGCTTGCAAAGGAGCCCGCAGGCCGCCCAAGCTCAGCGCATGTCTCCTCCCAAACAGAGGCAAAATAAAAAAAATGGGTACAAAATTTCACAGTCTCAGATTCACGTCCCCCCTCCTGTGGTCAGCGCTTCCCCGGCTCTGCTCAGTCCTAGGACACGGCCTGCACAGCTCCAGCAGGAACAGCAGAGAAACACCGGGAAGCTGTGGAAATGCTTGTACAAAAAAGTACATATATATCTCATAAATCACAATAAATCACAATCAAAGGGAAAAGGTTTCAAACAAACGAGCAAAATAGCACCATGGAGATTTCTACTGGCAGCATCTGTGAGACCCGACAGGAGGAGGGTCTCACTCGATTTTCGGTGCGAGAAAAACGTCACCGACTTCAGGATTCCAGTTCACCCACCCGTTCTCCTTCCCCAGGCAGGGCAGGGCCACGCAGGCAGCACGAGGTGCCAGGAAGGCCCTTCACAAAACAAGGGAACAAGGTAGAAAACAAAAGAAACCAAAAACAACAAAAAAAGAGGAGAGCGGAGAGTTTTGCTTTGGGAAAAAAAAAGCTTTTCATCTGTGATCCTTAAAGATACGAACGAGGAAAGAAAAAAGAAAAAAAAGATAGTAACTTTCTCTCTGTCGCTCCCTGGACAAACAGTTTTGGCTGGTCCCTTGTTTAGGGGGAAGAACACGAAGGCAGTCGGCGGGTTTCCAAGGGGCTCCACAGCACCGGAGGGGACAGCAGTGGCTCCGTGAGGTTGGCGCGGGGCCGAGGGAGGCCGGCTCCCTCGCGAGCCCGAGGAGGAGAGGCCGCCCCCTGCCACTCAGCCCACGGGGAGGCCAGAGCCCCTGGGGATGCACGAGGCAGATTTGGGATGAGCTGGGGGCGGAGGTGCTGGTAGATGTTGCTCCTGCCAAGGATCTCCTGGCCTAGCAGGAGCAGAGGGCCCCGTGGCCAGGAGGGGCCCAGCTGGAAGCGACCTGGGGACATTATTTGGAGATGGAGACTCCCAGGGGCTCAGTCTGAGGTGAGAGGGGCAGCTGCCCGCTCTGCCGCTGCGATTCCAGCTCGGCCGCCTTCTGCAGCGCCACTTCCACCAGGAGCTGGAAGCTGCTGAAGACGT